TGCAGCACGCACGCAGGAACGATGCAGGCATGGAGCAAGAGCGCAGCGAGCGTGCAGCACACACACGGGAAGCATGCAGGCATGCAGCGAGAGCGCAGCGAGCATGCAGCACACACACAGCACGCGCAGCGTGGCGCCATCCGACCCAGCACCTCCCCGGTGAGGCACCGCTAGGTGGTAGCACCAGGAGAGAAAGAGCTGCAGGGATCAGCTCCAGCCCCACGCGCTCCTGCAGCCCCTTTCCCAGTGCAGCTCCCGCTGCTCCGGAGCGGTCCAGGAGAAGGGCCCCAGCTTGCACGCATCCCCGCGAGCTGGGCGCCATCACGGCCCCACTCAGACCCTAACAGCCCCATCAGCCTTACAGCGTTTCTAACAACATGGTCTGCTGTGCAAAATGTAGCGTCCAGTGATGCTCGGCACTCCTGGGGGGAAAGAGCTCTGCACCGGGAGCAGTGACCAGGGACAGCGCGGGAATACGGGTTTGGGCTTTGCACCACGGGTATTCCAAGTCCAAGCCTGGTGGAAACAAAAAACAACCTGAAGAAACACCAGGCACAGACTGCAGCGAGTCCTGCGCGCAGGAAGCGCTGCCGCAGAGCCGAAGCCTTGGACTCGAACCCACGCGGTGCGCGAGCGGAGCGGCCATGGGACATTGCCGATGGCAGAGGGGAAGGCGGCACTCGGATAAAGCTCCCCGAGAGGCTCCTGCTGACGCGGGGGCCGTGGAGCAGGGAGGCGGCGGGTGCCTTTCCCGAGGGCTCCTTCCCAGGGGAAGTCATGGCTCACGTGCCTTCCAAAAGGCCCGCGTCCTGCAAGCAGCCCCATTCCCAATAAGCCCTAGGTAGCTAATAATAGCTGATATTTTATAGCTAATAAATAATATCCCTAATATTTTTCACTTTTGCCTATTTGCCATCAGACAGACACATGCGTCGCCCCCTCCTGACAGGATAAGTCCATCACGGTGCCAACGTACGGGACGGACACGTCCTCCCCTTGGCCAGGAGAGCAGGTCGAGAGCCGCGGGCGCCGCTGTGATTTACTCACTACCGGCGGAATTGCCCGATTAATTCACTATCCGCATTAATATTACGGCTCGTTTTTAACTTTACTGTCTCCATCGTTCCGATTTAGTGCCGCTCGGAGATGCGGGCCCCGTGGCCCACGGAGCCTCTCGCCCACCCGCGCGCCCGCTGGGACCTTCCTGCTGTTGCACCGGTTGTAGGCGGCTACCTTATGGATACGGTAAAATTTCCAGGGAAACCTAGAGCGGGAAGCATGCGAAAAACACATAAAAACTCTAAAGGATGCTCCGCTGTAAGCCCACAAGCCTCTTATTGTCCTGCACGGAAATCAAAAGCCTTTTAATCATTTGCAATGTTCTTCTGGGTATCAATTAGTCACGCGTTATTTTGGGATCGCTTTTCTCCCTCCGTCCGCATCAGATTAAATTCTCCCCTGTCATAGCGGCTCGTGCTCATTAGTGGCGAGGAAAATTAGCGACTCTTCCCCCATCGCTGGCACTGACGGGAGCTTTCCGGCAGAAAAAGGCTTTTTGGCCAAAACCCCAGTTTGCTCTTTTTTCCATGGCAAATCCAGCCCAGGATGGGAAGGGTCCCTTCCCGGCGGCCGCTGCCCTCGCCGCTCTCCCTGGCACTGCCCTCCTGCTCGCGCGCAGACACCTTGCCAAGGGCTCATGATATTTATTGAGTTTTATTAACTTCCAACCCTGGGAGTTTCTCACCTCCAAGAGCCAATTCAGATGCCGGGCTCCTGCCGGAGTCCCAGTGATTGCCATTAAGCAGCCTGACATTTACCTTACAACAGTAATAAAATAATAATGCCTAATTTGGTGTACGAGTGGTATTTGCAGTGGTTCCTGTCCATGGCACGGGGATATTGCGAATATCGCTGCAATGTTGATCAATTATGGCTGTTTAACAGCGCAGCTATAATTCTTTCCTGAAATCATAAACGTCTGCCAGGAGAGCTGCTCCCAAGTTTTCCTTTGAAATGACAGGAAAAGAAAATGTTTTCAGTCCAAAAGCAGACGGTTCAGGTTTCAGCGACTGACAAAAGCTTTGGAGACAACGGTTTCCGGCCAAGAGAAAAATGCAGAAATATAAATGCAGCGGCTGCTCACATTGGCCGCATTTAGAGCCCCAAAATAATGGCTCTTTTCAAGAGCCACCTATGATGGCTTTCCATTAAAAACACATTTCTCTCCTGCAGATAACCTGCCATCGCTGATTTGTCGATGTGATTCCCTGCGCTCATTGGCCTCTCAAAGATTTAAAAAAGCGTGTTTTATGTTCTCGAGGGATTGCTGTGGAATTAAAAGAAGAAAAAACTCTCTTCTGGCTGCAAAGTTGGATATGTGGGAAAGAGCACTCACATGGAGCACAGCAGAGCTGGGCAGAGAAATGCAGGTTTGTCCTCACTGCAGCCACCAACAATGTCCCCCCAGCTTGGCCACGGCCACCGGGGCTGCAGCAGCTCGGAGCCCTCGCGGCGATGTCTTCCTCGGCATCTCACCCTGGGCGAAGGTCTACATGGGTTGGGGTTTTTCTCTTTTTTTCTTGCAATGCAATTTTAATTAGCGCATGATGCGCTCTGGGTTTTTATTAGCGTCAACAGCTTGGAAAAGCCGAGCGGAGCGGCTCGACGACACCAGGGAGCCGCGGGCCGGCGCAGAGCGGAAACTTCACTCGTCTTCAAGCAGGCTCAGCCTGCACAGAAATTCTCAGCTTTCAGCAAATGGGAATTTTCTGACATAGATCAAAATTAGTCAGGAAATTCCTGGGCAGAGCGACTTAGGGACAAGGCGCAGCAGGAGCCCCTGGTCCCGGAGAGGCGCCCACGCACAGTCATGCACACTCATGTACACTCATGCACATGTGTGCACACTCATGCACATGCACGCACACTGCTGACATGCACACGGCAACCTTGCAGGTGTCTCTACACGCGTGCACGGCGCTCATGCACACACACACCCCCTGCATGCCTCTGACACAAACAAGGTGCCTACATGCATGCAGAGTAAGCGTGCACACCTCCAACATGCACAACTGTGCACACCCCCAAGGTGCACATGCTGTGCTCACCTCTGCCATGCACTTACTGCACACGCGTGTGCCACCCCAATGCACACGTGGCGCAGATAGAGGGTGCGCCTCCAACATGCACACGCAGATGCACGCAGGGCGAGCACACACGCACACCTCCAACATGCACATACAGACATCACACACATGTGCGTGTCTCCAATGCACACAGGTAGCACACACATGCATGTCTCCAATGCATGCACTGCACATGTGTGCAGGTCTCCAGCGCGTACACACTGCACGTGCATGCACGTCTCCGATGCACACAGGCCACACAGATGTGCACATCTCCAGCTCACACGTGTGCCTATCTCTAATGCACACACCGCACACGTGTGCACTTCTGCAGTTCACACGTGTGCACGTCTCCGATACACACGCAGCACACGCACATCTGCAGTTCACACGCATGCACGTCTCCGATGCACACAGGCCACACAGACGTGCACATCTCCAATTCACACGTGTGCCTATCTCCAATGCACACACACCGCACACGCGCACATCTCCAGTTCACACGCGTGCACGTCTCCGATACACACGTAGCACACGCGTGCACCTCTCCAGTTCACACGTGTGCCTATCTCTAATGCACACACCGCACACGTGTGCACTTCTGCAGTTCACACGTGTGCACGTCTCCGATACACATGCAGCACACGCATGCACATCTCCAGCTCACACGCGTGCCTATCTCCAATGCACACACACCGCACACGCGCGCACATCTCCAGTTCACACGTGTGCACATCTCCGATACACACGTAGCACACACACGCACATCTCCAGCTCACACGTGTGCCTATCTCCAATGCACACACACCGCACACGAGCAGGGGACACCATGGCTGGGCCGGCTCCGCGCTGCCCCGACGGCTGCCGCTTCCTCGACGTAAGTTGGGGGGTTTCTTTACGGCGCTCGAGCTGCCGCCCGGGATTCACCGACCCCTGACAGACCCCTGGATATTGCTCTTTTGCAATTAATCAGGCAGAAGCAGCGAAGCCCCAAAAGAAGACCTGCACCCGATGCAAGACCTGTGCACTGCTCTTTTGCGTCCTGGTGATTTTTCTTATTCTGGTATTTTTTGGTGCCAAGTATCTCTGGAGCCCAACGCCCAAAAAAGTGAGTACAAACTTGCAGAGTCCCCTTCTCTTCAGCCGGAGCTCCCCCGCCGCCGGCAAGGCATGCCTCCGAAGGGCTTAACCCTCCCTTAAAATGCTCACGGGTTTGCGAAATGCATCTTCCTGCACCACAAGAATTCATGGGGACTTTTGAAAAATGTTTCTTTTGTTATGTCTGACTTTTGCTTTATAAGGGCTGCTTTTTCCCCCCTTCTGTCAATGCTCTCCTTTCCTAACCGATAATTGCAGGGGAGGGGAGAGCGACACCGCAAAGAGTTAAAGTTACTCCCTTTCACCAGCAGCAAATTTTATGACAAGTAAGAAAATATTTTCCATTTCATTTCAATTATCTTGCCAGAAACCGGTGGAAAAGCCATTATGCCGCGGCGCAGAGAGGAGAGAAAGCCAGGACGCGGCCGTGATTGACTGTCACGGGTTATATTCCGTACTCGAGCGCGCCTGCAGCGCGAGGGGACGGTGTGCACGCTGGCCGTGGGACGGTGCGGCTGCACGGGGCTCATTCCTTCCCACTGCCCTCTCTGGGCAACGCCGCTTTTTGGGAGTGTCGCAGCTGCCAGGGCATCCGGCAGGCTGAAAAACATCGGTTTCGTAAATGCAAATTGCATTTTTTGCAAAAGGCAAAGTGCAAAGTGCTGTGCGCTGGGTGCTCGGGGGATATGGGACAACCCTTATTAGCTGTGTCACGCCGCAGCGCTGCTCCGTGCCCCATGTCCTGAGCCCTTTGGCATCACGTCCATCAGGGCAGGCACAGCCCCAGCCTCTCCTAAACCTGCCCAGGGCCGTAACGCGCCGCACCGTGGGCGATGCGCAGCGCCCCGCACAGTTTGTCCAGCCAAATGGGCAGCCTTGCAGCCGCCTCAGGCTTCCCACCACGTTTTTTCCTCAGCATAAACCCGCTGGCACCCCTGTATCTCTACAAAAGCGTCACAGCGGGTAGCGAGTGCACTGCCTGGCGGGTCTGCAAGCGCCCAGCGCTGCGCGCCTGGGACCCGCTCCCTGGAGCGGGTGCCAAAACATCCATCCAGAAAGCAGAGCCCCGGCAGGAGGTGCGGGAACCGCCTGCACAGAGGGCACAGCCCTGTGTCCCCAGGCCGGGGCGATTTGCAGGGCGCGTTTGCCACCGCCGCTCCCCAAAAGCAGCAGGCACCGCACGCTTTCGCCCTGCAGCTTTATGGGCTCGAGCGGACCTTCCTCAGCGGCAGCGAGAAGCAGAAGGTCGTGATGGAGATCGACCCGCTGGCCAGGACTGAGACCTTCCGGACCGGCAACGGCAGCGAGGAGATCCTGGAGATCCACGACTTCAAAAACGTGAGCGCGGCCGTCACGGTTGCAGCGGGGCTGGTGGCGCCTGCGGGACACAGAGGAGCAAATTCCCGATGGGATTTATTCCGAGTGAGGGAGAGCAGCGCCTCTGTGCTAGCCGTCTGGGGATGCTTCCAGAGGAAACGATATATATAACTCCACGAGCCTGCACCAGTATTTAATACTGGCGTGGTTCAGTTCCAAGGAAATACATTTTAAAAGCTAGATCTAGTTATCGGATTTACCCTTGCAAAGGAATGCAATCACCATAAATCTAACCCAACTCAGCACATTTATCTGTCTGGAGAGCATTAAAACCTCGTGACAACATTGTAGGCTCTCTCTGAAACCTAATT